GTTTATGGAGTCGCCAATTTGCTTGGTCCAATTGGTAATGGTGGCCTCCATGACGGCTTCGCCCATGGAGGGTAATGTGAGTTGGTATTTAGCCATACAATGGTATTTTCTACAAATATAGGTTTCTAATGAGATTTCTCAAAATTAGTTTGGAAGGGTTTGAAAATCTAGTCAATATGTTTTTCAGCATGGTAAGATGAGCGCACCAAAGGGCTGCTTTCCACATGTCTAAATCCTAGGTTTAGGGCAAATTCACGGTAGTGGTTAAATTGTTCGGGGGTAATAAATGCCTGAACACTTAGATGATTTTTACTGGGTTGTAGATATTGTCCCAATGTAATGACGTCCACCTCCATTTTCCGGATATCGTCTATGGTCTCTTTGACTTCTTTTTCGGTTTCACCCAAGCCCAGCATGATGCCTGTTTTGGTGCGGCGTTGTCCATGGACTTTAAGCAGTCGCAATACCTCTAGGCTACGATCGTATTTGGCCTGTATGCGCACCTCACGGGTTAGGCGGCGAACGGTTTCCATATTGTGTGAAATTACTTCGGGCGATTCGTCCACAATCAATTTTATCAAATTTGAATCGCCTTTAAAATCGGGAATTAAGGTTTCCATGGTGGTGTCTGGCGATAGATTTCGGATGGCGCGAATCGTACGCACCCAGATTCCAGTTCCGCCGTCTTTTAGGTCGTCTCTGTCTACCGAGGTGATAACGGCGTGTTGAATCTTCATTTTAAAGATGGAATCGGCCACTTTATCAGGTTCATCTTCGTCTACGGCTTTTGGTCGACCCGTGCTTACTCCACAAAAGGCACATGATCGGGTGCAAATATTGCCCAATATCATGAATGTGGCGGTTCCAGCGGTCCAACATTCGCCCATATTGGGACAGCTTCCGCTTTGGCAAATGGTATGGAGTTTATGGTCATTAACCAATTGTCGCAATTGGGTATATTTTTCGCCCGTGGGAAGTTTGACTTTCAGCCATTGGGGTTTTCGTT